TTTCTTTGAGGCAGACTGTAATGACAGCAATGTTTTGCAAAGACCTGCCACGTGATGATATGTAATTAGCACTGCACCAAAGTCAGCTGAGTTCAGGTTTGGTGTTTTTCACCCAAGTGCTGTTTGGGGGCTTTTATTTGTCACTTTACAGTATACTAAAAATATGTGTGAATTCGACATGGAAGAACTGCTTTTCATGTGAGTCTCAGCCGCTCCTCTTCTTCCTTAGAGTGCAGAGGTTTGCTAGAGAGATCGCCAGATATCTCTATCAGCAGTTTTCTTTTTGGCTTTGTTCCATTCCAGTCCTGTAGTTAGGGACTATCCCATCAAACTTGGGTCATCCTGGTTGGTTTACTGGTTCTTGGCCTCCACAGTGGCCGAATCTCTCCCATTTTGCATACCCACTGTTCACGTAACTACTCAATTTTTCAGAGATCTCGGTGTTAATATATGTAGTTTTTTTCCTTCTTCTTTATGTTCACCAGTTGCAAACTTCAGTGGGCAGTTCTGGTTGTTCATCCACTTCTGGACTTTGATGTCGTTCCAGAATTTCAGTTTTGCATGAATATCCGTTTCACAGATCTGGCTTATTTGTATGCAGACTGTTGGTTCATGCCTCTCAGACAGACGCACTCTCTGACTTCAAAGGAAACATCCCTGATTAGTCCCCTTTTATGACATGATGGTTAGGGTGAGAGGGGCGCAGTGAGTTAGTTCCCTTCCACCCAAATCAGTGGGACCTTCACGGAGAGCAGTTTTCTTGAAAAAAGGTTTTTTGCACATTGGTAACTTTCGGTGTAGTGCGAACACCATTGTGAAGTCTTGTTTCTATCTGTGATTGCTGTTTTATGGTCATTTCAAGTTAAGTATTTCATGATGTGTGTATGAAATATTCACATATTTACATTTATGTATTAAGAATATGTACACTGCAGACATTATGTGGAGTACCTAAATACAGCTGATTCAATCTTCAACAAATTTTAAATTTCAGTTTGGAAATAGACCAAAAAAAAAAAAAATGTTGAATATGAAATACGCTTGGTTGTGGCAGATTGTCCTCACTAGTTCTGCGGCTTCTGCCCTTAATAATGCGTTTTGCTTGTTGTGATGTGGTTTACAGATAGGCTGTGATATCTGCCCAACACATCCGATGTCGGCAAACCTGTAAATAGTCACTTTTTACAATGTTTTAAGGAGGCAGTGAATCTGTTTCCTCCTCCAGATGGAGCTCCCGAACCCACACAGGCATCACAGTGTAGTATAAGCATAGGTGACCCACCTCATGTCAGATGATCCACCTCGTATGTCATAAGTGACTGACCTCAGCATAGGTGACCCACCTTCTGTGTCATAAGTGATCCACCTCATATTTCAGGTGATCCACCTCATAGGTAACATACTTCATGTCATGTAACCTGTATCATGTCATAGATGACCCACCTCATGTCATAGGTAACCTGTATCATGTCATAGATGACCCACCTCATGTCATAGGTAACCTGTATCATGTCATAGATGACCCACCTCATGTCATAGATGCCCTACCTCGTATGCCAAGGTGACCCACCTCATGTTATAGGTAACCCATATGCCATGGGCTATAGTTTGTGGCATCTTCTTCTTCTTCAGCAACTGTAAACTCGAGCAGAAAGTTCTAGAATTTGGTCTTGAGGTTTGCATGCACATGGGGGAAGGGAGGAGGGGCGCAGTGTTTCTCCACCCCACCCCAAATAAGGGGCCCGGGAACCCACGTTGGGAGGACATTGTTAACCCCAGCTATACCAGCTGGGGTTTCTGGCCTTGAGGCAGATACAGGCCAAGAGAAATTACCAAGGGCCTACATCTGTAAAAAGGTATAAGCACCGTTGCCACCTGACAGGGTACATAATGATGATGAACATTAGGTTGACACTTGGTTGTTAATGAATGATAGGGCAGGCGTGGTTAGTGCCTTGTGGGAGAGCGTGTACAATGCGGAGGAGCAGATGGATCACCAGTCTGGTGAGATTGATGCAGTTGGGGGTGACGAGAGGTTCTGGCAGAAGCTCAAGGCTCAGAGGAAAGGCAAGACGGACGTTTCATCAGAAAGCTACTGGCACCATTAGTATTGTGAAGATGGGGACGGAGTGCTTATGGGAATGCCCAGAGTGCTGTGATGTCGGTTCTTGAATCAAATCATTGGTTGTTAATGAATGTAACTACTAAGGATTTTTCACATAGTAAATATATATTTCATGATGTAATTGTCGTTTGAGATGTGTGTAGTTCTGGGCAAATGAAGACCGTCCCTGTAAATCTGATGCCTGGGTAACTTATGTTGTTTCATGTGGTGTGTCTATTTCTCAGTAATTTTGTGGTTCCCTCCCCCCCAAATTTACTGCCTTGATTTTTATTGTCGACCAACAAATCTGTTGTATCACTTTGTTGTACAGTTTATTTTCCTTATATTGTTCATTTATCAAAAGAGATGAAGATCGTTTACCATTCCGTGAGATTCAATAATTATGAGTATCAGTGCGACTCAAATGGCAGATGTCGAGCCATGAAGGTGGCCATAACACTAGAGCAGTGATTCCCAAACTGCGCTGCAAAATATTTGAAGATACACAATTTTTTTTTTTAAATTTCATACAAATAGCCATATTCTAACTTAGGTTAGGGCGCCGTGGACAAAGTTTTAAATTTCATACAAATAGCCATATTCTAACCTAGGTTAGGGCACCGCCGTGGACAATTTTTATATTAATAATTTTGAAAAAAGGTGCCGCAACTAAGAAAAGTTTGGGACACACTGCACTAGAGGGATTTGCCGCACTGAGCTTTCTAGCTTGTCTGTGTTGCTTTGCTAGTGAAACCTCTACTGCCTTGCAGCTTATGCATTAACCCGTTCATCATGTAACACTAAGTTGCTGTTGACTGTCTGATCAGATCTCTCTATCCTCAAACGTCATGGTTGCAGTCAAGTTGGTCTGCCTCTTCTCTTCTGCGCCCAGTAGTTTTGTTTTTGAGACGCTGTTAGATCTTATTACACTAGTCAACAACCAAATTGTACCAGAAATGAAAATAGCTGATCTAAACTAATTTTGGTGTGCTGAAAAAGAAAATGACTTGAAAAAAACGTTGATTGTCTCTAGTTTTCAAGATAAATGCTACTAGTTTACTTCATTAGGGCCAAATTATATATAGTTATGACCAACCAGAATAATCACAGATTGTGGATCTGCAATCGTTCGTCAAAGTTTAATAAGTATAGCCAGCAGTTTAGAGAGGGTAAGGTTTCATGGTATTTAGACAGTAGTACGAGAGTCATACTGTGAAAGATATGGGAGCTTCACTGCCTAATATTCTTTAAAGGGGGTGTACACTGCTCCCCCTCCACACGCACAAATCAGACTTGTTTTGGGGCAGGTGAGAAAGCTGAGCACTTTTTTGCATGTAATAGTGACAAGTGGAAGCTCTGACTGGGTGTGGTCAGTTGTTGCTTCACAACTCCTCCAGTAGAGTCTTGCAAGACATGCTCATGTCTTTTCAGCATGTAAACAGCGGCAGAGCTAGGGACTGAACTTGCACCGTCCCTCATTAAACAGTACACCAACCAACTAGTAGTCAATTTATCTGCTGATGCAGTTGTATTTTATGAAGTCATTTTTAGGTTTCCTCTACTCAACATGTGTAGACCATTTAGTCATTTCTTCTTTTGAGATCAAGAGGGCTGTGTGGTCTGGAGGTATGGTGTCAGCCTTGAGTCTCTGGTTCAGGCTGGGATTATTTCACATGGACTTCTAGTAATATTCCCTGGGTTCTAGGTAGTAAGATCAGACGCCTGCGTGTATTGTTGCACAGGTTTACAAAAAAAAATCCCTTGGCAGTTACAAATTGATAAGAGTAGCCTTAACGACACCACCCTGGCAAAATATGGAGTTAAAAATCTACCCCAAAAATTTAAGGTTTATTGCCGGTGCTAGAGTCCATTCACTGCGCTGAGCTACTTCGGACTCAGGCTTAAGCTAGAAGTAGAATGGAGCACTACACATGTGCCATGATGTTGATCCATTGTTTAAACTTCTTTGGAGATCTTGGTGGCATAATGACTAGATATTGCTAGCCAACCTAAAGGTATAGAGTTCAAATTCGCATTTAGACAGCTTTTTCTTTAAAAGTAAACTTGGTTCCCAGGTCAGCCCTAAAATGGAAACCAGGTCAGTCCCTGGACCTGAAGGCAGCAGCCACAGTATTGATCCACATCACAGAGTGCCATCTTGTTTATAATTCTGCGTAGATCATTTATTTGACTACAATGACCCTTTCCCTAGTCAGGCATATAGGGCTAGACCCATATTTTATAGGTCAATCATTAAGTGGGTGTCATTATACAGGCCTATACTTGTTTTAAGGTTGGGTCAACCTGAGAACCAGGTTTTTTTTTTGGAACCCTAACAGGACCCATGACTTTTAAAGGCGGACCACTGCAGCTCCCACCCGATTAAAAAAAAAAATTTGCTTTGTTAACCTGTTTTATATTTCTGTTGCCATAACCTTTTGTCTCCTTTCTGTCATTATCCTCGCCGTCATCTAAGAAATCCATACCTATGACGTGTAGCAAATGTTTGTAAAGCACTAATTTAAAATTTTAATAATGATTGTATATCCTTGCATACTGTTGTTTTACACAGTTAAAGGCCACAATTTTCTCTCTGCCCATAAATGTTACAAAAACAATAAATGTAATTTTCAGACATCCAAATGATTTGCCATTTTATTGTATGTCACATGAGGTTTTAAGTTGGCCAAGAGAACGCATCATTGTACACCTGGCATAGTACACATTTCCATTCCCAATCACAGCTCTCAGTGCTTCAGATTGAAATTCATCTCATCAACATTACACAAAGATTTCAAAATTAACACTTGATTCAAATCTCACTATGGGTTAACAAAGAAAACATAAAACATCTCAAGTTTACAAGTGGGCATTTATTATGTCAACATCTGACTTTTTATCCAACTCTCTGTGCTAATTCTTTGGCCTTGGCTTTCTCTACCTTGGCAATTCTAGCTTGGGACTTGGAACCCATCTGACCACCGCCCCAATGTCTGCGGATCTGTAAAAATAAATACACATTTAAGTTTGCAGTAAAACAGTGCTGTCTTTATACAATAATATCCAAAGAAACATAAGACAAGCACTAACGTAATCACAGCATTAGCCTTACATTTGCCAAAATATGATCCAACATTTAATTCCAGACTGCATAAAACTAATGTTTGGTTGCATATCCATTACAGGGCGTTGCAGAACCAACCCCCAACAGCCTCAGCCTGTTGTGGTTTTTCTAGGCAAATTTACGTCTAGTTTGCCATTGCTTTCTGATGGTCAGCTTCTTTGATACCACTGTCAAAACTAATGAAGCGTTTGCATCAACTTAGCCACAGAGCGGACGCATAAAACTTAAAACACCAGCGGTAAGTGTTTTCATCAAACAGCAACAAGTAGAAGACTTGTGCACCTCACAGCAACAAGTAAGACTTGTGCACCTAACTGCAAAGTTATGCTTAGTTTAAAAGTTTGGGTGCTTGCTCAGGGTTAAAAAGCTCATGTAATGCCTCAGATATATCAGCTTACAAATGTTATCATCATCGCAAGCAAAAATGGACCCACCTAAATACATATAAAGGCCAATGTGTGAACATCCACACTAAGGCAAATTTGACAGCCACATGTAAATTGCACAGCAACATGTCAGATATCATTGCAAACTTAACTGCTATCATTCCCACACACAGTAAGTAATTCTATATACTGCTATAAAGCTTAAAGCCATTTGCCCTAATATTAGTCAGCCCTGACGACCTAGGTTAATTTGTAATAAATCTATGAGCTGAACTAAGCTAGGAAACACACAGCTTGTTAACATAACTACAAGATCTAAACACAGAAAAGAGAATTCACAGTGAAGGAAAAACATTCTGAGTAAATAATCTAGTTATTAAATGTGGCCCCAAGTACTTGCTCAGGGTTAAAAAGCTCAAGTAATAAGCCTCATAGTGCATCAGCTTACACAGACTTTCTTCATGGCAAGCAGGGGCACAGACAAACATACATATATGCATAGAAACATAGCGAAATATGTGGATAGTAGAGCTACCTCAGTGGTGCCAGCCTACTGCATACGGAAAGTAGAAATTAGCAATGTGACCTCACATAGTCATACCCTATTGGTGATCTTTGCCTAACAATTTTTAATGGCACAAGAATGTAAATATGGATTCAAGTACAAAGGACTAAACTATCATTGCCTGCAGTCCAGTTTGAGAAACAACACCAAAGATGTGAATGAAAGCATTTAATTCTTTATTTAGCTGTTGCTTTTTAAACAGCACTGCTACCCCATCTGGGTTCAAGAGTAAGTAAAACGATAAACCCAGCGCCTTTCTAACAAGCAAAGCCATCCTACTAGGCTACCAATTAGGAGTTTCCTTCGAAACTAGAGTGCACCTGCCTGAGAGGCAAGGAACCATCAGTTCACATACAAATAAATTATGTAAACACTGTAAACCAAAAACCTCATGTTCTGGAATAAGACCAACAGTCCAGAGATTGAACAACCCAGAACTTTCCACCAGTAAACACTAAGAAGAAACAAGACAGCTGGTTTCCCAAGAAGGTTATCTGTGAGTGCTTGCTCAGGGTTAAAAAGCTCTAGTAATAAGCCTCAGTGTATCAGCTTACAAAGGCTTTCATCATTGCAAGCAGGGCTGACAATAACATCATCGTTTATGTTACAAGAACAGGAGAAGTGTGAGGACATGACAGACACTGCAGATGCTTAACTATTGTCATAATTGTATTCCTGGTGTTCCAGAAATATTAATCACAATACATGAAACAAACTGAAATATACAGATCAAATCTAAATAATTTTACAGCGATGGCGAATCATGTGTGATTGTTACTGCTTGTTATAATGTTAGCACACACAGCACAGTTCTTACCTCATCAGACCTGTCATTGAAATTGGTCTTGATAGCTTCTGTCAACTTGCTCAAGGCTGGTTTGTCCTCACTGTCAACAACAAAATGATTCTGTAATGTTGAAAGTATTACGGCAGCAGACTCAACTAAGAATATAGCGCAGGCCACCTTTACTTGCAGGACTTGACCTACAACCTCTGCATGGCTGGGTCAACCTGGAAGGCTATGTAGTTTTTGTCTATATAGCCTGTTCAGATTTGAACCCACTACCTCCAATCGCCATGGTGTAGCGGGTAGACACTAGTCTTGAGATCAGACGGTCATCATGGGTAAGGTCCCCCTAGTGGAGCCTGACACCCCCTCCCTAAAAAATTTGGGTTAAAGGTCGACCCAGCCTTGAGTGGGCATCAGGTATAGTCCGTGGTGGGGGGTCCCAGCGTGATGTTAACCACATGACCCAGCGAGTGCCTACTGGTCTACAATCAATAGGTCTAGCCCGATATGCCCAGTAGGTCTAAAGGTAAGAATCTACAGCCCGACACACCACACAATGAAAAGTATAAAAATGAAAGTGGTTCAGTGAACTGCCTGGTTATGAACCCACTTTCACACTGGTTACATATTTAATTTGATTAGAATCAAACAAGCAATTATTACTTTCAGCAAATAAAATAGCACTTCATTGTTAACTGTGGCCTGATATCCATTTGCAGGATCATTTTCATTTTAAAAAGACTCATTCGTACAACTGTGTCTTGCCATTCGTACAACTGTGTCTTGCCATTCGTACAACTGTCTTGCCATTCGTACAACTGTGTCTTGCCATTCGTACAACTGTGTCTTGCCATTCGTACAACTGTGTCTTGCCATTCGTACAACTGTGTCTTGCCATTCGTACAACTGTGTCTTGCCATTCGTACAACTGTGTCTTGCCATTCGTACAACTGTGTCTTGCCATTCGTACAACTGTGTCTTGCCATTCGTACAACTGTGTCTTGCCATTCGTACAACTGTGTCTTGCCATTCGTACAACTGTGTCTTGCCATTCGTACAACTGTGTCTTGTCATTCGTACAACTGTGTCTTGTCATTCGTACAACTGTGTCTTGCCATAGGTCGCACAAATGGAAGCTTATGAATGTGCATGCATGCTGCTGCAACAGCTAGGAGCTAAGTGTCTGCACAAGAGAATCACAGGCCATAATTTTTTTTCTGGATAAGAAATAATATAGGCCCTTTTCCTTAGTTTCCAGCTGCCAAATATATTTTTTGTGCAACATGCACATTGTATATGATAAACATTGGCTCTCCAAATTCAATCCTTTACTTGGAAGCTATAAATCTGAGCCCACAGCTGTCATTGAGCTCAACACTGCAAATTTTAGGGGTATTTTTAGGAACTGTCGCCAGAGCTACAAAGTTTGTGCTATGTGAGAAACTCAGCAGGCAGGTTGACCAATATGCAGAGACTAAACCTGGTGCAGTGAAATTTATCCCCTCAACTTTAAGTAGAGAGAGACAATGTGTGTGTGTGTATGACGATCATTCTATAAGGCACTACTCTGCCTAACGGCGAGAATTAGAGAGAAAACCACTTACGGGTTGACCTGGGTGAATGCCAGGCAGGTAGCCGTCTTCCTGTGAACCACCTGACCAAGTCTGGCCTTGCCCTTGACGATGCAGTATGGGACTCCCATCTTACGACACAGAGCTGGCAGGAACAGAACAATCTGGAAGAAACAATCATTTACAGCTACAGATAGTCCTGGTCATAAAATCTTCCTTTCATGATTTCTTTACAAAATAAATGATAAAATATATGGAAGAAGGCCCGAGCCTGCTAGGACAACAAAAGTGTGATCTTACATGGTGCTCAGGTGTCATAGTATCATCCTTTAACAAAATTCAGGTGAAGAAATTCTTACATCATTGCACCATTAGAGGCACGTCAAACAAATAAACAGCAATGAAAACACGGATACCCTAGATTGTACATGAGAACACTGTAACATAAGATAATTGTTTTGAGAATTAAGTGCGCACCTTTAGATGGATGCAAGAATTTTTTTGTCAAAACCTTTAAAGTTCAGTTATTACAGCAACCCATGACACTGTTTTAAACAAATGTTTAAATCTTATTGCGCACACACAAATCCTTAAAACGTGCGCAAGCAACAACTTTTTGCTGAAGTTTAGAGGTAATGAATGTTAAGAACCAACCAACTAATAGTGCTCAGATTGTCAAATGTCTTCCTTAAAAAATTCAGGCGAAGAAATTCTTTACATCACTGCACCACCACTGTTGCTTCAACTGTGGTGGTTTATTAGAAAACTTGTCTTGATTAAAGAACTTTCTAACACAGCTCAAAAGAATGAAGTGGTGCGGACAACCTTGAACAGTGTGATGAAACAATTTTTGTTTTATTTATTACTGGCAAGAAAAACCAACAAAGAGAGAATCTCTTTAAATGTGTATACAGGTAACAACTAGCAATGTCACCACCTAACAGTAACAAGTGCTCAGATGTCAAGGGTCATCCTTAATGCATTCAGGTGAAGAAATTCTTGCATCATCGCACTGAATATTTCTGTTATAGTTCTTAGCATAATCCTAAGAATATATATTAATGCAACTAAACCCTAGTGTCAATAACTAAAACCAGAGTAATTATGCATTATCAGTACAACCAAGACAGTATGGTTAATTTAACAGGTGAATTCTAGGGTCTCCCAAAACAAATCCTACAAACCTCAATGGGGTCCACATCGTGGGCGATGGCCACCAACTGAGCCCGCTTAGACTCAACAAGGGCAGTGACGGTGTTGATGCCAGATCTCACAACTGGGGGCCGTTTTGTTGGCTTGTCAGCTTTGCCAGCAGCCCTCTCCTCAGCACGACTCTGCAGACGAGCCTCCTTTTGCTTCTTCAGCTCAGGTCTGTATTTATCCATCAAGCGGAACAGCTGTGTGGCTGAGATAAAAGAATCATAATTCATAAGTCTACCAAACATTGTGGCACAAAAATCGTTTACCTAGTACTGCAATAAAAGAAGAGAGAAAAAATATTATAATGTAATTTCAGCTTTTCACCCCGTCGGCTGTGAGATTTGCTAGGGAATTCCTAGGTAGTTCCCCAGGAGGTTCTGTGGTATAAGAGGGGTTAGGGTCAGTTCTTTAATTCACCCACCCGAAAAAGGTTATATCATCAATGTCATTTTTAGTATGAACTTCAGTGTATCAGTAATTCACTTATTGACCTATAATAATCCTATATAAAGTTTGGCCTGAACCAATGTTTCTCTTGGACAGATGTTACGCAGTCTGATGCGGACTAGGGATATTTTGTGGCAGGCTCAGAAGAGGGGCCGTCTTGAGGTGTGACAGTCTTCATATATGCATACTCGGCTAGGGTTAGGTGCAGCAACGCTGACAGGTCAAGGAAATTCATGGCGAAGACACACAGTAAAAACACTGATTGCAAACAGGGGTATGATTTTGAACGAATAACAGTAATGCACAATGGAATTATTACGCAATAAACACACTGAAAACAACCAAAACATGACACTGTTGTAACTCTAACACTGATCCAATATATTAGTGTCAACCACATGGATGTGTACATCCAGGAGTGATTATATCGGAAGACAATTCTAGTCATGAATTCTCCTGCAGTAAATAGTAAATGTACTGGCCCCATCAGAGGCATTGTTTTTCTAGAGTGTACAAAGTTTGAGTACTTACGACAAAGTGTCTATTATAGAAGTACTGGCTATCTTCCGAATAACGGCCCTAAATTATTGAGGCAGAAAATATACCTTAACAGGGCTTCAGTCACGTGTCAATTGCGCCACCGCGCACTTCCACTCATGCGGTGTGGATCAGGGCTAACTAGATGGCTGGGACTCACGAGCAGCAGCTGCCGCATTTTCCTGCAGCTGCCTTGATTTTATCTGCTCATGAGTCTAGTTTAGCCCCAATCCACTCTCAGCGGTGACGGTATAGTCCCCAGAAGTTCGTCAATTTGGCGAGGGTGGTATAGTCCCCGGAAGTTCGCAACTGACACGTGACTGTGGCCCTTTGAGGGTATATTTTTTGCCTCGATAATTTTATTCTGAAAAAGCTGAAGTGCTTAAAAAAAGGATGTCTTAAAAAAAGTGCAGACACTGCGTACTATTGTTACATTTAAAAAAGTTTCAGTCTATAAACCTAACTTTCGTTTTTCCAGCAAGATCCAGAATGTTTCACTGCATGTTTTTGTGTGACTAGAAATTGTCCAACTGTTGCAATTTATACTTAATACACAAACAGATAAATGAACGTACCTGTCTGGCGGTCAAGAGCCTGTGTGAACTGGTTGATTGGTGGGGGAACTTTGAGACGCTGGTAGAGAACTGCCTTCTGTCTCTGCAGACGAATGTACTTGGGCCATTTCACAAACCGGCTGAGATCTCGCTTGGGTTGGATGTCTTGGCCAATTCCAAAGTTTTTGGGCCTTTTCTCAAACAGTGGGTTGACAATCTTCTTGGGGTCAACCTTTTTAGCTGCAAGTGGTGCTGCTGCCACCTTCTTCTTCCCTTTCTTTGACTTTGGTGGTTTCGGTGCCTTAAAACAAACGTCAACAGTGTATACATTTTGTTTACATAATTATAACATGCTAACTACATAATTAAAAATTAAATTACACAAGAAAATGAATTTCATAACTTACAAGCTTAAATTATTTTGTTGCAGTAACTGGCCTAGATTACAAAAATGCGTATATCTATTAAATACATATAGATGCTGACTGATAGAATATCGGACTTTTCAACGAAACAGTTTCAGCTACCCACCATGGTTAACGATAACCGGAAAAAGAAAGCTTAGATGTATTTCCGGTTAGAGTTTTCTCAAAAATAAAGCTACTTCCTTGCATTTTAAAGAGTCAAATAGCACAGCTCTAGTCTGGCGCACAGTTTAAACTCTGATAGTGTTTTCAACTTTGCTATAAAATTATTCAGATGTAGAAATTCGACATTTATCACATATTTTATAATGCTATATAAAAAAATTATATAAATTGATACGTAAAATATAACGGTAACACCGACCCGAAGAAACAGGAGAAAACAACAGAAAATAAAGGGGTGTCCTCAGTCTCCTTACAAATTTTCCGGAGGAATGGGGAGCCTCACTGGGCCAAAACCTCGTTATGTTATCAATAATAATTGTAGTGTGTCACATGGAAAATGTTAGAAAAAACCAATATTTTGCATGTGGGGCAAGGGAAAAAAAAGGGGGGTGGGGTAGTAGCAGCTTTGCGGAAAGAGATAAATGAATGGGCTTTAAATCCGGTTGCCAAGGCTCTTTACCTGCACAAGACTGCAGGTTATATCTGTCTAGTGGAGCCAATATCCAATTTCGTCCTTTTTAGGACGAAATTTTTTGTCATTGAAGCCCTACTCTGGCTTTTGCCAGGGGCCGCAATATAGGCAAGCCATACATATGGCCAAATGTCTGAACGCGGTTTCTGGGACCTCTCCACGGCGATCCTCATCCGCATGGTGGCACTTTGTGTCATCGGGTGTTTATCGCTTGTGTGATGTCCTGGTGGGGTAGAAAGTCAGTCAATACGGTTGTCCTAATTATAAGTTTAGGTTGAACAGGGTATCTTGCATATGCCTTTTAGGTCTGCCACCCAGGCTTAGATTTTTGTTGTTGTTATTCTCTGGGTGGTCTGGTAGCCCTTTAGGTGGCAGATAGATTAGAGCAGCAGTGTTGATTAGCACCTTTCCGTCTTTCCAGACGATAGTGTTATATTGCGCTATGAGGAGGTATGAGACTCACAGCCCATGGCGATGGCGAGTGTGACTAGTAAGACCCGCCCGCGTTAAGAAAAGTCTTCCACAATTATGACATGGGATTTTAGGACCCTGTTGTCAACATTTGTGTTTAGTCTGTTTCTTCTCAGACATTCAGCTCTCATCCTGTCAGCAATTAGGTCTTCTTTTATGCTCATTCCCTTCCAGATGTGTCTCCTCCATACAACAAGGTCCATGGTATTTTGTTACCACGTGTCCGGCTCAATATCTGTATCATTTCTGTCCCACTTGCACACATTTTTGTATCGTAGTAGAGGTAGAAAGCACAAAGATACATCTTCCAAATGCCGTAATGACAGTCTCACTAATCACAATAGAGTCACACATATATTGCAAATAAGGTGCCTTGAAACTGTAGATTTTTAAAAAAAAATCAGTCATAGAAGTATTCACAATGCACCCAGAAAATAAATCTAACAAAGGAACATGTTAAAGTTACATTTTCAGTGGTCAATATTTGCTATGCATCAATTCTAGCATGGGTCATAGACAGGGCGGTATGCGTGGATCTTGACCTTTGCTCCATAGTTTATCCTGCAGGGTCGCCACTATTAGCCAGATTTATTCTTTCTGACGGAACAGCCTTTTCAAGACGTATTCTGTAGTTTGTTTTGGTGCACCGTAATGGCATGTTGCAGAGTCAGCGAGTCCCACGCGATAAAAGTGTGCTTTTTTTTCCCCCTCCCATTGTCTGAACATTCTAATTGTAAACTGCTATGCTATAACCTGTCTGTAGTGTTTCTGATCTCCTTTCCATTTAAACTTCGTACTCTGAAGAGTGTCACTGACGCTTTAAATCTCTGAAACGAGTGGAGGAGCATAAGGTTCCATCCAGTGTTGCCATTTTGGATCTTTTATATCTAAATCTAGATCTTTTTCATTGCATTTAGATACTGTTTTTGACGTTTAGATCGTAAATATTTTTCTAGAACTTTTCATATGGAGTTAGATATTTTATAGATTTTTTTTCTTTCGTTGTCAATTTAATAATTACTGTGTAAAATATTTACTACAATATTTTTGTTTTGGTCTGGCACGTACATTGTGACAACTGCCATTACTTGAACTGTGAACTCTCCCTGGGGTCAACGCACAAATATCTGGCAGCCCTAGTACTGATTAATAAAAACGCGCGTAAATCATACTAACTTTGTTTCAACCGTATCCTCACTGTGCTGACTTTGCTTTCTTTTTCACGTGATTTAAAAAAAATAATAGCTCACTTTCTTTTGTGGCTTTCACTTTGACAAAAATCTTTCAACATGCCAAAAGTAAAGTATGAGCACAAAATTTGGAAAGAGTGGTTGCATGATGACAAAATTAAAAACTGGGGATATGACCTTCTGCAAGTGTGAAATTAAAGCGAAAATACAAAACTCAAAGAGTCATGCAGAGACTAAAAAAGCATAAAACTTCAGTTTCATTTAAAGATATTACATCTGACATCTGTTTCCAGAACTATACTGATAAATGAATCATCAAAAGTTGAAGTATCAGTCGCAATGTTTTTAATTTGTCACTGCGCAATTTCAAACCGTGACCATTTGATCGATTTGTAAAAAATCTTGGACTAGTTCAATTTGAAAAGTGTGATGTAGAAAGTATAGTTTGGAACTGAAGGACCTTTTAATCAGCAAACAGTTAGGCTTGAAGAATTTGGCTGTAATTGGTACTGATAATGCCTGAGCGATTGAAGTGAGACAATTTAATGATGCCTCATCAAATAGTCGATTATGTAAGCTCTTTAAAGTACCATGTCTGCCATGATACTACCCCACTCAAATGCTGACGTAGAAAGAGTTTTCAGTGCTAGGAATTATATCAAATCTAACCTAAAAAACAGGGTGAAATTTGACCTCTTAAATGCTATCGTGCCATTAAAATTCGGCCTGATGAGACTAGAGAAATAAGACTACTGTTCCACTTATAAAGAAATTTGAACAGCTAAAGCATACCAGGGTCATTTTGGATCTGAAGCTTCAACTTCATTATCCAAGCTAAGTTTATCCTGTGGATCTTGTGAGGCAGACATCAGTGAAGGTGAGGACATTATTGTGTAGGGTAAGTCATAACAAAAGCTATGTAATTTTTGACTTTTTCAATTTGGATGTTTTTTCTAGATCTTTTCCACGCAGATTTAGATCTTTTTAGATATTTTTGGACACCGTTTTGGATATTTTTTGTCAAAGAAAAGTGGCAACACTGGTTCCATCCAGCCTTTATGAGCTTATCTGCTTTTTAAAAATTTCAGTTGATACAACAGTGAGTTGGTACTCACTGTAAGACTTGATCTGTTCTTGGGCAGAGTATTTGTATTTTATTGTTGTTTGTTTGAAATTATGATTTCACAGATGACCCTGTCATGTATGAGCATAAGATGATTATGAGGGCTAATGTCGAGTATGAGAGTTTTATTCTGCAGTTCCACTCGACTATTACGAGTGCAGAATTAAAAGGTCAGTGTATGTGACTTTGACATTGCAAAGACTCTTCGTAACTCCGAAATACACGATTGGCTATTGGCCAGCAGACCGCTATGCGTCGATATTGACTATAGTATTAATAGCGAACAGTTAAAAATTTTTTTTTTTTTTTTTTTTTTTTACACCAATTTTGATTGTGAATAAGTGGTTATCTTCACAGATGCGCTATCGGTGCTTCAAGCCCTCAAGAGTGGTAAGCTTCTCTCACCTGAAATCTTAACTTAGCACGGTGGCTGCCCAAAAGAATACTTTTCTCCAATGGGTGCCACCCCACTGTGGTATACAAGGAAACGAAACCGGGGATACACTTGCTAAGAAAGGGACATAATGTGAATGGGGAGAGAATGCAGTAGCATACAAAGAGAAGAAAATGGACCGTCCAGTCTATCAGAAGTGAACGGAAGTTGGTCAGAGATGAGGTGACCTTCACTTAATTGACCGCCATGGACAGGTCATTAATCTACGCCTCAAGACAGGACATAACAAACTTAACAAGCATACGTACAGGCTTCGTTAAAGTAGTTCACCACTGTGCCCTTTTGGGCTGAGTGTGCAGACTACAGAACATATCCTGCAAGAATGTCCCTTGTACAGCCCATTAAGAAGTAATACTGGCCCAGCGAGTCAACACTGTACTCAGAGTTGCATAAAAGTGAAAGGGAACTCTTGCAGTCAAGTTTATCCCAAGAACTGTCAGTGTCAATCAGAAAGCGAACACAAGAAGAAGATTGTATGTCTTTGTCTGTCCTCAGTTCCACAAAATGAGCACATGCCTCCTCAATCAATTTCCCCAACAAAGGCTAGGGTTGGGTTGCGAAGTCCTGTAACTGTACAGCTAACTTCTTCTTCTTCTTCGCGTTCACCAGCTGTACACTCTGGCGGAAAGTTCTGGTTGCTCGTCCACCAATGAACTGCAGTCCTGCTCCAGAACCTGAGTGCTGCGTGTGCATCAGTTTTACAGACTGTTGGTTCCTTGCCTCTCCAGCAGATGCACTCCGACTTCAAAGGAAGCTCCCCAGTTAGTCAACTCTTACGACATGCTTTTGGGGAGGCAGTGGGTCTATTCTTGTTTTCCCCGCAATGGGGCCCCGGAACCCACACGGGGGACTGTAACCTCAACTCACAGCTTGTGACCAGGTAGTCAGATAATCGCAGAACGGACAAGCCCATAAGCACTCTGCCCTCACATTCAGTATCTCCATTAGCACGTAGCGACTGATGACACCACTCTCTTGTTGGTTTACTATTCTTCATTGACGGTCTGTAGAGTTTTTATGTCAGGTAACGCCTCTTTTGACATGAAGTTCTTGTGGTTTGTCAAGGTTGCTTAATAACAACCTTCTTCTGAATCATCTTGTCCTGTCTCCTTGGGAGCATTGGGAACATCAGCACGATCTATTATGTATTCTGTGCCAACCTTGGTCCTGCCATCATACTAATCCGCTCGTTCATTCACCTTTACCCCGGAGTGTCCTGGTCCACAAATGAAAC